GGAGGGCTGCGCCTTACGCAGCTGGCCTACTCCTAGCTCTGGGTTCAAGGATCACTCTGCAGGACCATATGTAGTACAGGGGACCCCAAGGATCAGTGCAGGGCAAGCACCGCGATCCTTGTACTAACTCTCCGATTACAAAGTGCACATTTTTTTAATGGTGACCTTTAAAATATGAAAACCTTACATCTCCAAAGTCTCTCACAAAATAAAACAGATGACTGTTGTCCATCCCAGATTCCACACATGCCAGAAAACAGGGGAAAAGCACTGCTCCTTTAAATCTATGGGAACTCTGAAAGACAAATCACTCATAATGCTGTAGGTTAATATACCAAGCAACTATGCTACAGTAATTGTTTCTAAGTATACCAAATGGCAATTTTCACAAAATTCTTAATGAGTGACTTTTTAAAATCGGTTAAGAAGACAATCCTTCCAAAAGAGAGAAGAAAAGCAACCTGCCATAGAGGCAGACTTGGGGGTGGGGGGTGATGGGAGGGAACCTGAGGACACTGGTGCTGGGAAATGGACACTGATGGAGGGATGGGTGTTGGAGGTATACAACTGTATGACTGAAACCTAATCATAAACAGCTTTGTAAGGGTCTATCTTACAGTGATTAAGTAAAAAAAAAAAAAAAACCTAAATTATAAAAAAAAAAATCAGAATTTAAGTCAGAAAAAAAAAAAAGACAACCCTTTCAGGTCTGGGGAATTGCTCAATGTGCTGAGCATAGGCTGGGAGTAACCCCTGGGCCCCAGGAGGTTGGCATCCAATTCTACCAGTCACCAAAAAGAAATCAGCTAGGGCTGGAGCTATAGTATAGCGGGTAGGGCGTTTGCCTTGCACGTGGCCTACCCTGGGTTCGATTCCCAGCATCCCATATGGTCCCCCAAGCACTGCCAGGAATAATTCCTGAGTGCATGAGTCGGGAGTAACCTCTGAGCATTGCTGGGTGTGACCCAAAAAGAAAAAAAAAAAATCAGATAAACCCCAGATGGGGAAGACAAGATTCTCATCTAAAATGCCACTAAGAATGAAGAATTGAGCTGGAAAGAATTCCAAGAATTCCAAGCAACCTATATTAAAATAGAACAAACTCATGCAAATTCATTTTAGTAAATAGAATGATATGATGCAGAGCTGCAGAACTAAAGTAACAAAGTCAAAATGAACTCTCTCCTGCCACAGAATGAGGAAGAAGACAGGGTTCTAGCTTCGAGCACCACCAACTCAGCGAAATGAGGAAGCAGCCACACTGTGGCTGCAGTTGAAGATTCCCCAGAAAGCACTTTCCCTCACCTCTTTCCAGACGGACTCCTAAAAATTGCAAAGCCAGGGACCCGAGAAGAGAACAGCACGTAGGGTACTTGCCTGGCACGCGGCCAACAGGGGTTCTACCTCCCAGTTCCCTGAGCCCCCCAGGAGTGATCCCTGACCCAAGGGCCAGGAGTAAACCCCTCATGGCCTGGTGTGGCCAAAAATAAATAAAATAAAGCCTGCCTATCCTGTAGCAATAGCACAGGAGTTAAGTTTGCCTTGAGCAAGGCCAACCCAGGTTCAATTCCTGGCATTCCATATAGTCCCCCACAAGCACCGCCAGGAGTAATTTCTGAATGCAGAGGCAGAAGTAAGCTGAGCACCAGCAGGTACAAAAATTGTTTTAAAAAAGAAAAAAAAAGACGCTTTGCATTTGTCTGACCTAGGTTTGATTCTATGCACTGCATGGTCCCTTGAGCACTGCCTGGAGTGATCCCCCAAGTACTGCCAGGTGTGGAACCAACCCCACCTCCCCCCAAAATAATAATAAATAAATAAAATTTGCCTATCCCCTTCATTGTTATTTATCTAATGTAATATCAGAAAGCAAATATGAGGGGCCGGAGCAATAATATGGTGGGTATGGTACTTTTCTTGCATTCAGTCAACCAGGGTTTAATATCTAGCACTTCATATGGTCATTCAAGTCCCTCCAAGGAGTGATCCCTGAGCAGCGAGCTAAGAGTAAACTCGAGGCACTGCCAGGTGGCCCCAAAACAAAACAAACAAAAAAGCAAGCATCCATGAGGTCCTTGGAGCCCCACCAGGAGGGATTCTTCAGCACAGAGCTAGGAGTAAGCGCTGAACACCAATGGGTGTGGTCCAAGAAGAGGGAAAAAAAGTAAATATGATTTACCAGAAGACCAAATGACCCTTCTTTTTGCTTTGAAGGTTTATTTTTCACAAGAAATTAGCAGAAGTTAGCTCTTTTAATTACCAATGTTGTCTACTGTGAACATTCTTTTGAAATAATTTGAATAAATTCTACTCTAAACAAACTGCAGACGCAAAATACCCCCCATGTATTTCCTCCCATTACTTCCGCCAAGAATTATTTCCTGATTAACTCTAAATTACTCAGTTAATTTTTATGTTTGACATCTACATATAATCCAAGCACTGTTTACCTGTACAGTGCTTTGCAAAGACCCTGGGGCCTGAAGAGTTTATTTCTTAAACAAAATTATAAATTACTTAAGAATGAAATCTGTGCGCTCTTCTACAACAAACCTGAATTCTTTTACACAAAGTTAAGTATACATGCGAAGCCGCAATACTTAAAGAGTAAATTTACCCTCCGGAAACATTAAACAAGTTCCAGAGATAATGAACTCATTCACAGAGTCAATCAGACGCGGGTGGGGGGGGGGGGGGGGGGGGGGGGGGGGGGGAGGCAAGGGCACAGTTCCTCCAGACCCTCGCCACCGCCCTAACTTCACAGCGAAGCTTTCAGAACAGCGTCACATACCCACATTCCAGGTTCTCCCATGCATGCCCCATGCCTTTGTCCGCGCCATGCCCCTAGCCACAAATGTTCCTTCCACCAGCTGGTTACTAACCACCAGACCTCAGATGAGTACACAAGACTGGCAGGTGCTCCAGGTGAAAAAAAGGTGAAGGTCACCGGGTGAAAAGAGCTGAAAATCACTCTCTGTACCACAGTCACCACCCCCCACCTCTCCTCTGACATAGGCTGACACCCGAAGAGGGTCCTGTGAGATGAAGATTCCCTAGTTTGAACACGTGAGTACAAGTTAAAGCCCCCAGTGCTGGTGAGAGTACAGAGGTTAAGACTTGCATGAGGGGCCGGAGCAATATTACAGCAGGTAGGGTGGTTGCCTTGCATAACGTGGTCGAGCCGGGTCCAATCTTCGGCATCCCATATGGTCTCCCAAGCACTGCCAGGAGTAATTCCTGAGCGTAGAGCTAAGAGTAACCCCTGAGCATCACTGGGTGTGACCCAAAAAGTAAAAATTTAAAGAAAAAAAAAAAAAAAAGGACTTGCATGAAACCAACCCATTAGATCCGGGGCACTGCATATGGTTCCCCCAGATACCACCCAGGAGTGACCCCTGAGCACAGAGCAAGGAAATAACCGCTGCAAACCAGTGGTGTGGCCCAGCCTTCCCCCCCCCGCCCCCCCCCCCCACACACACCCCTCACTTCTGAATCCTTTCTCTAATCCAGCACATTCCCCAGACTGGAGGACAACCTCTCCATACGCCACATGCCAAGAACAACTTTGATTTTTTTTTAAATGTAAGGCATTTTCCAGCCTGCTTCTGTTTATTTTGAAAACAGATACTATATACAGGTGGCACAAAACTCTAGAGGAGCTAACCCAAAGAGTTCACAGTGAGCAATGAAGTGAACAAGGTCCTTCTCCCCAGAGACAAACATGAGTAGCTCTGAGTGCCTTTTCTAAACAGCAGTGTTTTCCAGCTGAAGACGTAGCTCCGTGGCTGAGCATCACCTTTCATGTGTGAGGTCCCAGGGTTCTTTTGTTTTTTTTCCAAAGCTTCACCACCCGCCCCGCCCCAAAAAATTGATTTGTGCTATAAACAGAACCACACAGCCACATTCTGATTTAAAGCTGGAGAGCCCAGCAAGCTACTGAGAGTATCTCACCCACATGGCAAAGCCTGGCAAGCTCCCTGTGACATATTCGATGTGCCAAACACAGTAACAAGTCTCACAATGGAGACATTACTGGGCCCGCTCAAGCAAATCGATGAACAACAGGAGGACAGTGCAGTGCTACAGTGCTTCCTGTGAAAGGATCTGTGCATCATTTTGGTGTGATAAGTCTATGAGCTTTGGGCTGGAGCGATAGCACAGCAGTAGGGTGTTTGCCTTGCGCACAGCCAGCCCGGCCGAGCTGGGTTCAATTCCTCCACCCCTCTCAGAGAGCCCGGCAAGCTACCAAGAGTATCTTGCCTATGTGGTAATGCCAAACACAATAACAACAAGTCTCAAAATGGAGACGTTACTGGGCCCGCTCGAGCAAATCGATGAACAGGAGTACAGTGACAGTAACAGTGTCTATGAGAAGGGGCACCATGAGTTAGGTGTGGGGGTCGCACCCATGGCTGTGCTGGGGGCTAGGGTCACCTCAGCACAGCACCAGGCCTGTGCCCTATCAGAGTCAGGCTCTCTAATCAGGCCCAAATGCTGAACTGTCAAGGACCCAATCTCCTCGGGAGACTAGACAAATGCGGGATCGCAGGATGCACACACTGGGGCATCTTGAACAGAGATGCACACACTGGGGCATCTTGATCACATTGGGCACCAGCACCTCAAACTCCAGTGCCAGCATCTTCAGACAGTGGTTTTAACCCTTGGCTATCCATGAACCTGCAACAGGCTGTGAACTGGCAACTGAAACCCACTGTTCTCAGGGGACCTGACGCAACTTGTGAAATGTAGCTTTCTCGTTCAGGAAACAAGCCAAGGTTCTCATGACATTAAATTTAAATACGTTCACAGCTCTTAACTTCTCCGTGATTTCAATCTCGTTTTCCATTTTCTTTGCAAAACGTTTTTGTGGAAGTACATCTGGGATGTTTTTTATTTTAATATAAACTCAAAGTCCTATAGAAAGCATTGAGTGTAAATATACCAAGATTTCTATAAAAGGCTTCCATTTATAAGCTCAAAAGCTCCGGAACAATTACCTTTTGCTCTTCTCTTTCTGTTGCATGGTGACATTTTTCAATTCTCCAATGCCTCAAGAAATCGCGGAGATACCCAAAGAGGGTGAGCACACCATATCCCACGTACGTGAGCACGGCGACCAGCATCGGAGTCTCTTCAAAGGCTTCATTAAATGGTCTTTTGTACAGTCCTCCGTTTTGCATAACATGATGGATCTAAAATGGAAGTTTAAAATATTCATTTTAATCATGGGAATAAAAAAAAGAAAAGTTCTACTTGGGGCTAGAGAGACAGCCCAAGAGGCTAAGTGCTTGGAAAGCAGGAGCCCTGAGTTTGATGCCCTGCCAGTGTGAGAGCCCCAAGCACAGAGCCAGCAGGAGTCCCCACATACCACCAGGTGTAGTCTGAAAACTAATAATAATGACATGGCGGGGGGGAAAGGGCTCAAAGACCTACGCTCATGGCTTCAAGTTGGAAGCCCCCTGTTGGATTCCCTGCAGCAGGTGTCCTGAGCAATGCAGTGACCCGTAAACCACAGGTGAAGTGTGTACTGTCCGCCCCCGTCCCCCTCCCCCAATATCACAGCCTGTGGCCCCCAAACGACACAAATCTGTATCCTCAGATATCTGCAGAGGTATGCCTTCAGGATTCTGTAAGAATTCTCTTTTAAAGTCCACCAAGAGTGAGACAAGAGTAGGGCGTTTGCCCTGCACAGAGCCAACCAGGATTCAATCCCTGGTATCCTATATGTCCCCCCAAGCACCACCAGGAAAAATCCCCGAGAGCAGAGCTAGGAGCACGATCCAAGAACGAAACAAAACTTTTGGTTTGGGGTGTGATCCAAAAACGAAACAAAACAAAAATAAAGTCCACTAAGATTTAAGCAGGAAACTTTTCTCAAGAGAAAAAATGTGTGTGTTCACAAGGGATCGCCCTGCCACAGAGGCGGGGTGGGATGAGAGGGATGGGGGTGGGAGGGATATTATCCATGGTGGTGGAAAATGGGCACTGGTGGAGGGATGGGTATTTGATCATTGTGTAATCTAAACCCAGGCACAAAAAATTGTAAATCTACAACTGTACCTCATGGTGTTTCACTAATAATAATAATTAAAAAAAAATTTTTTTAATGCTAATAAAAGATTAAGAAAGAAAAAAAAAAAGAGAAAAAATGTGGGAGTTCACATCCAAAAGAACAAAAGCAACCAGAGCTGGCATGGATGTGGGAAGAAAGGGATGCTCCTTCATTGTTGGTGGGAATGCCCACTGGTCCAGCCTTTTTGGAAAACAATGTGAACGTTTCTCAAAAACCTAGAAATTGAGCTCCCATTTGACCCAGCAATATCACTCCGGGGAATATGCCTTGGGGGCCCAAAAACACAACACAGAAACATCATCTGCACTCCTATGCTGATTGCAGCACTCTTCACCATAGGCAGAATCTGGAAACAACCGGAGTGCCAGAGAACAAATGAATGGAAAAAGAAACCATGGCACACCTACACAGTGGAACACGACATAGCTGTTAGGAAAAATGAAGTCATGAAATTGGATGGACATGGAGAACATGCTGAATGAAATGAGTCAGAAGGAGAGGGACAGATGTAGAACGACTACATCCACTTGTGGGATATAAAAATATATATACTAGAAGACTAATATCTATAGCAAGGAAAAATAGGGGCCAGAAGAATTGGTGAGTGGTTGGAACTAACCCCAAGTGTGTGAGGGGCTGAGGGTAGGTAAGATAGAGAAGAAACCAGTATGACAATAATAGCTGGGAATGATCACGCTGGACAAGATCTAAGGGTTAAAAGGAGGTAAAGGGAGAAGGAAAGGGAGAGGGAGGGGGAGTGGGAGAGGGAGATGGGTGGGGAGAGAGAGAGAGAGAGATAAAAAGCACCTGCCACAGAGGGAGGCTGGGGGGGGGGGGGTGCGGTGGAGGGCGATTGAAGGGAACCTGGGGACACTGGTGGTGGGAAATGTACACTGGTAGAGGAATAGATGTTGAAATACTGTGTGACTGAAATCCAATCATGAACAGTTTTGTAAGGGTCTATCTCACAGCGATTCAATAAAAAAAAAAGTTAAAAAAAAGAAAAAACGTGCAAGTTAGACATACACCAATAAACAGCAAACATAGAGAGAAAAGAGACTGCCTAAGAACACTGCCCCACACCAATTTCCACCATTATTTGAGTTTATTAAATAGATCGTGAAAGGTTTGGGTTGGGGAATGTATAATTCCCATGTTCTAAGAGAGAAAACAACAAATATAAATCAACAAAGGGAAAATATTCTAAAATATAAAAAAAAAAACCAAAACAGCTGAAATGATCAAAGACAAAAAAATGGGGGGGGGGCAAGAGCGATAATAAGTGGTTAGGGCATTTCCCATGCACACACTGGTTCTATCCCCAGCAGCACCCTTCGGGTCCCCTGAGCATGTCAGGAGTGACAGGTGTAGAGCCAAGAGTATTCTCTGAGAACTGCCGAGTGTGGCCCCCAAATAAAACAAAAAATAATAATAATAATAATTTTCAAATAAGGCCCACTGCTTAAAACCAGTATTCGATTTCTTTTTTTTTTTTTTTTTTTTAATGACCTGCTGGCACTGAGACACAACCTGTGAGAAGACTGCTTTTAGCACTCCCGAGTTTCTACCTAAGGAGTCAGGAATGCTGTAGGTGGATCTCTGGAGATAACTGCCGAGAAGTGAGCGTACCCAAGCCAGCAGGCCACGTGGCTCACTCTCTAGGAAGGAGGAAATGAAGCTGATTCTATCATAGTCTCCCTTAAAATTAAGTGCATTTGGGGGCCTTTAGAGTCAACTAAGAGATGGCTTTCTGAATGTGGTCTCCATTTAGAACCCAGGTCTCTCGGATCACACAAGGTCAGAATAAATTCTGTACATGTTTACTTAACCCCCCCCCCCCCGTTTTTTTTACAGTGCCAGTAACTGAAGCCAGGATCTCACACATGTAAGGCAGATGCTCTATCACTGAGATAGCCCATAAGAAAATTGTGCTTCAAGGGCTGGAGCGAGAGCACAGAGAGTAGGGTGTTTGCCTTGCACGCGGCCGACCCAGGTTTAATTCCCAGCACCCCATATAATCCCCTGAGCAACGCCAGGGGTAATTCCTGAGTGCAAAGCCAGGAGTAACCCCTGTGCATCGCCGGGTGGGACCCAAAAAGATTAAAAAAAAAAAAAGAAAGAAAGAAAAAAAATTGAGCTTCAAGTAATGGTAATAAAACTGCATCTTTCATGCAATTAAAACAGCATTGTCATCAGATACATATTCCACAGAAGAAATAGGTTTGGTGTTTTGTTTGGAGGCCACACCTGGTGGTGCTCAGACCAGGCCTTTGAGCACAGGGATCACTCCTGGAGGCCTCAGGGGATCGTTCAGGAGGCTGCGTGTGTGCAAGGCAAGTGTCCAGTGGCTGCACTCTCACTCGGGTCCGAGTACCAGGTATGCTTTGCTCATCAGTACACATCCAGCCTGGGAGAGTAGCCAGTGACTGACCGAGTCCTCGGCACTCAGCAGTGTCTTCTCTTACTGTTATTACAACAGAAAATAGAGCCTTGGCTTGCTCTTCAAGCCCAAGTTCTCCCTGGAACACTGCTCTCCCTTGCTTGTCTCCGTTTCTTCACTTGCAGATTTCTGATCTGGAGAAGCCTGTGTTCTCTTGCAAACAGGTACTTCTCCCTCTCTGCCCCAACACCTTTCTAAAGAAGTTTCAATATAAATTTCCTTGTGTCATGAAAGGAAGGGAGGAAGGAGCATGCCTATAGGAACTCAACAAGTATTTGTAGAATGAATGAAAATACACAATATACTCTTTGCTCTTACAAAAACAAGTACTCTGGCATGGAGACGGTTAAGTTAATTACAAAATTAAAGAAGTTATTAGGACATTTCTAAAACTCCTATCTAATACCTTTTTATCCAAAGTACACTGTTACAGCTGACACTAAAGCATGGATATTTATATATACACTTCACTCAAATTTTGGATCTGACAGGAAAGAGAGATCTTAAGAGATCTTTCAATCATTCTAACATGTGAATCATACTATCACCAAGACAATTAAAAAATATATATATACATATATTAGAGGGGTCAGATGATAATACAGAGGGTAGGGCATTTATTTGCCTTGAACGTGGCTGATTCAGGTTCAAAATCTGGTATCCCATATGGTCCCCCAGGACGTACAAGAGTAATTTTCAGAGGCAGGAGTAACTCCTGAGCATCACTGGGTGTGGCCCCAAAACAAAACAAAGAGTATCAGTCCCTCCAAGTTAAAGAAAAAAGGACTTCAGTCTGTCTACCTTAGGCAGGTAAGAGCATGACATTATTAGTCAAGGGAAGATTTAAGAACTCTGATAAGGGGATGGAGTGATAATTCAGGGCACTTGCCTTGCAAATGGTCCATCCAGGTTTGATCCCTGGCATCCCATATGGTCCCTGGAGCACAGCCAGGAGTGACACCTAAGCATCCCATCCCCGGGTGTAGCCCAAAAACAAACAAACAAACAAACAAACAAAAAGAATTCTAAGGTATGCTTAAACTTCCTCCACCTGTTTTTTAATCAGGTCTGAAACAAATCATTATAAAAAAAATATACAGGGTCTGAAGCGATAATACAAGAGATTAGACTTGCCCTGCATGCACCTAAACCCAGTTTAAATCTCTGGCACCACACACTGTCCCAGCACAGAGCCAGGAATAGACTCTGAGTATCGTGGACCAAACCCTTCTCATTTCTAACAACGCACATCACAGTGGTCGACCCGGGTTCAATTCCCAACATCCCATATGGTCCCCTGAGCACCACCAGGAGTAATTCCTGAGCGCAGAGCCAGAAGTAACCCCTGTGCATTGCCGGGTGTGACAAAAAAAATTCTTAAAGGTTTTAATATTTTGACTGAAACATTTAAGCTAGTGGGCGGGGGGGGGGGGGGGGGGGGCGGCAACAAATCTTTCACCGCGACCTCAGGTCATCTCCCTTCTACCTGATTCTACAACTCTCTGGCAAAGTCTGTCCACCAACAGTATAGCTGATGAAAGGCGCAGAGGAGTGCGTCCGGATTTGCATTTCAATCCCGTTTGCTTGTTTGTTTTCTCAGAACTCCAGATTTGCATTTCCAACTGCCCTTACCTATGCCAAACTCAGCAATCTAAGGCTGAACTTATCTCTCCATCCTG